GGGGGGGGGGGGGGGGGGGGGGGGAGGGGGCGGGAGGGGGGGGGGGGTTTAAAAAAAAAAAAAAAAAAAAAAAAGGAGACAGTCTTTCTTTTAAAGTCCAGTCAAGTGTCTCTTCGCTCTCTTTCCCAGTGTCTCTGATTTTCCTCCTCATTTTCTTTGAATGTGAAATGTTCACATCCAACACAGAGCACACGTGCTGCAGACGAGGATTTATGAGGAGCCACGGAGATGGGAGGAGCACAGGGGAGGAATGGGGGGAGGCAGGGAGGGAGGGAGTCATTCAAGAAGAGGTGGTGAAGAGAGAAGGAAAGCAATCACCTTTATTGTATTGTACTCTCTCAAGCACTGAGCCATTACTCCTTCCTGCTCTCTGTTAACCCTTTGAGTGCCAATGCTTGTAATCAAAATCTAGCTCCGTGTTTGACCACATCGGCTATAACGTGCTCGGGGGAGCAGTCCAGAGAATCCATTTATACATTTATGCAAGAACAGTAGAAGGAGAAGCAGCAGAAGCAGCAAACTCATGGCCCTCAGCATGTCTCCTATGTCACTCTTCTAAATCATTTCCGTTAAAGACTTTCATTGACACTCCTTTGACAAATTGTTTTAAACTGATTTTCTTAGTTAGGTGTTTGTGATCTGGTTACTTTGAAGGGAAGGTTTCTATTTTCAGAGCTTTCTGACTAAAAAGGTCAGGTCAGCAGGTCATTAGCCAAAGGTCAGTTCATTCTTTCAAAGGGTAATGGGAGAATCCCTGCTGTTTCCTGTGTGATCTTTAATAAAAATGTAACCAACATACACTCATCAAAGCCTTTCCTCTAATTCTCCCTGAAAGTTGATTCTCTTCCCCCTCTTCTTACCTCAGCATAGCACACATGGTATTGAGACACATTGATTTTTATTGAATAAAAGATAAACTTGGACTTATATCTAAAAGGTCAGCTTTAAGCCTACTGTAAAGCCTTGATTGTCTCAGGTTCATGACTGACATATTTTTGGTCTCTCTGGGATTTCTGTGCCATTTGTCTCATTTAATCTAAAAGAGTTATCCTATTTCTAGAAATAAAGATCTCATTACTTGTAAGAGGAACACTGAATGTGATCCAACATGTTTTTATGACTCAAAGACAGGAGTTTTAAACTCTCATTGAAGGGTCAGAAACTAACAGTAAAGGATCAGATTACATTACACTGAGAATTAGCCACAGGCCGCATGTGGGTACTTTGCGGGCCAGAGGTGGTCCCCGGGCCAGGCGTGGGGCACCCCTGCATTAAGTGAAAGTGAATCAGTTGTCACTGTGACACAGCACAACACTACACACACAAGGGTGGAGGGGGGGGGGGGGGGGGGGGGGGGGGGGGGGGGGGGGGGGGGGGCATTCATTACAAAGCCAGAAACAAAAGCTCAGTGTCATTAATAGCAAATTTACATTGTTACTGCAAGTCAAAATGTACCACACACATAAAGACGCATGGTATATGTAAAAAAAAAAAAAAAAAAAAAATCATAATAATTTTACAGGATTTAGGATTAAAGGACTTTAATATCACAGAATAAAGAAGCAGGTTGGTACCTGAAAAAAAAAATCTACCAAAATTCTACAAAAAAAAGAATTCTACACCACTTGAGAAAGTGTTTGGACCTGAATGGAGGATATTTACAGAAACATTTAATAAATTCAACTTGTTGTTTTTTACAGTCTCTCTCTCTCTGTGTGTGTGTGTGTGTGTACTTGCCGGCACGTTCAGCCTCAGTTATTAATATGCTCAGTGGGAACATGCCGTCTGCACTGTTTTCTCATCTGTTTCATATTAGTTTTTCCTAATTATTCTGCAACCAACGGAGAATTCAATGAACAGAAAGTGAAGTTGACTCTAGTAAATATTTATGTTTATATTCGGGATATGAATTCATCCTATTAGTAGATTTAATGTAGAATGTTTAAAGTAGTAAGTGATATTATAACTCTCTCATGATTGTACTGCAATGTGAGTATTCTACTGGAGGCCATTTTTAGGAGATAAATGACTTCATATACACCTAATAAGGAACAAAAACAAAAAAACACCAAAAAAACACCGAAAATAATATGACCTTTTTAACCGTTGTTTTATCTCGATAAAAATGACAAATTTAAACATCCACGGCAATACTTAGTCTTCATGAGCTTTCAAACACTGCTATCTAGTGGTTCTTTTGTGGCAGTGCAGAACACAAACACTGCATCTGAGCTACCCATACCATAATTTAGGCATGGATGGTGAAGTTTGTAGTATAGTGTAGGCGTTGTTTCAAATTAACCATATACGTCATCTTTATTGGTGGTATGGTATCAGTGGTAAAGAGGAAGAATGGAAATTCAAGAATGCACAAATACCATTCAGTGTCACTGAAAAAGAAAAAAATTAATAGTAAATAGAATGAAATATAATGTTCTTATAGTTACAATTACCCACAATTCAGCTGGCTGTGGGGCCTGGACCTGTTTAGTTAAACAGAACCTTAATATCCTGGAGGTAAAGAAAGACACAAACATCTTCTTCAACAGTTTTAAGTCTCTCGTTCTCTCTTTTTTTAAAAAAGAAAATCTATTTATAGCCATCTGCTGCCACCTAGTGGGAGAGTATTTAATTGTTCTTCCTGTCACCGTGGTATAGAGCAGTCTCTTTTTCCTGTCACCGTGGTATAGAGCAGTCTTTCCTAAACTTTTTGAGCAACATATTTTTTTATGGAAAAACACCACAGCGCATCACCAACCAACAAGCTTTCTTATGAAGGCAGTATACTTAATCACGACCAGCACACACACATATATATAAAACCTGGTGAATTATCTATTAATTCAAATGTCAGCTTTTGATTTTAAATTTTACAAAAGGAAATGTTTATTTACACTTCTTTATTGTGTGGAAAAAATCCACCAAAAAACTCATATATTTTATCTTGGGCAGCCCCTGGTGGCAGGTCTAGCTTGAAATTGGATAATTTTCCACGTAACATCTCTTACAGAACATTAGTGGTCGGGAATCACTGACTTGGTGAGAAGTGTCTTTGTTATGTCTTTGTTAGTGAACAAATGTTTGAAAGAGTTTCAGGAAATTATAGAGGCATAAAGTTTGAAATGAAAATGTTTCAAAGCGAGATATAATCTCAACACTTTGCTGATGCTTGTTGAAGGACAGAACGTTGTGCTCTCTTTTGCCACTGTGGTAAGGGTATTGACTGGATTATGGACATCAGGGGTGTCAAACTCCCTGTACAAACAAACCAGTACAATCATAACATAATTACCTGTAAAAACAATAAAACAATAAAAGTTTTTTCCCCTTTGTTCTCATGCAAATATTAGAAAATACTTCATGTTTAATGAAACATTGTATGACAAATTATCTCTGACGTGAAGTGGGTCACTTTCAAAATTCATCAAGCAGGCCGTATTGAACCCCCTAGTGGGCCGGTTTTGGGCCGCTGGCCATGTGTTCGACACCCCTAATGTACATCTACTAGAACTGTTTACTTCAGCCATCGTCTTGTTTCAAAAAATATATGGTTTCTGACACTCAATATCACATCGTACATAAAACGTCTCTGTTTTTCTATCACATCGTACATAAAACGTCTCTGTCTATGATAATAACTTTACTAAATTCACCATGAAATACAAACAAAACCTTTCAAAGGTCCTTCACTGCTGTAAATCTAAATGTACATGTAAAGCCAGAGCTCTGGAACACAAACCTCTTGTCATTCCAGTTTTCTCATTAGAATCTGTATTCAGGCACAAACTGTGACCTTTAACGCAAACACCACACACGTGTGTCTGATCCACACGTAGCTCCTCCGCAGGCTGACAAATCAATCACGACTTGAGCAGTGGGATGGTATAGATGGACCAGACGTCTTGGCTGATTTCAGTGTCTAGTAATCATTCATGACAGCAGCTTCACAGCTCTCCTTTACAACCGCTACAATTTTATGACAGCATTAATCAAAACAGGAAACTCTGTAATAATACAGTATAAGACCCTAGTATACTGTACTCTATACATATATTACTATACTGTATTAAGGTAAAGGAGATTATATTTACTTCATTAATGCAGTAACAGAAATACAAATTTCCAACGATGCTGAAACCTAAAATCAAAATCTAAACAAAGCTGGTGGAGGCCAAAAAGTTTTCTGGACTTTCTATGGCCTTTTAACTCGTTGTGTAACAAAACTAATTTTTTCCACAGAACATTGTGGACAAATCAGTGAACAACTATGAATAACACATGTTCAGCCTCACCTGCCCACAGCGTTTCACAGGCTTCACATGTCTGGGTTGTCTGTGTCCAGACTGAAATATGAATTTGATTTTAGTTCAGCGGGTCAGTCACCTCATATGACTTCATCCATCCACTTGATACACTTCCATGTGATCCAGACTGCCCCCCCCCCCATCCCCACCCCCTGGGAAGCTATGGATTTCTGGACTGCTGTAGGGATGGATTGACCTTAGAGAAAGTACACGTACAGTTAGTGCTGAAAATGTTCAATAATAAGACATAGATAAACAAAGTAATGAGCATCATTAAAAAAAAAACAACCAAAAAACCCAGACATTTACAATAAAGGCAGCTGAAACAGATGGGGAAAAACCAAGACTTACCGGACATAATATGTTAACTTTGGAATTCTGTTTTCACCAGCTGTAATGAAAATCATGGAAAAATACTATATATATACACACACACACACATATATATATGTATATATAATTATGACAAATATATCACAGTCAGCGTACCGTCAGGATATCTATTTATGTACATCTATTCACACCAAATGTTTGCACTCTCAACAAGGAGATGTTTATTCAACCATCAATCCTATTCAACATTTACTATGATTGACTCTCAGTTCGTCACACTGAGGAGTTGTTATGATGCCGAGCACTAAACTGCCTCCTGCCTTTGAACGTCGGTTGTGAAAGACGGAAGGCCAAACAAACACAGAGTGCAATTCAGACGGAAGCCCCACGGGAAAGGTTAAAGTAAATGTTTACATTTAAGAAATTAAATAAACCCAGATTAAATATGGGCTTATCATCACACACACCTGCATTTACCCAAAACTAATCCCACCACCTTCTCTATTTTTGGATAAAAGCTTTAATGATGTCTTCTCTATTCAACCACCGTCTATCCTGAGTTTTTTTCTCCTCCCGTCTCTCTTTCAGGGTTATGCATTAACAGGAACGCTAATCCATGCGTGTATACACACAGCTGTATAGAAGACTGACTGTCATTCAGAGTCTGGTGATGGGAAAACCGATAAAAGCTTTCAGATGCAGCTCATTCACTCTCTGGTTGCCAAAGCAACCAGGCATGCAGTGGAGAGAGAGAGAGAGAGAGAGAGAGAGAGAGAGAGTAAGAGAGAGAGAGAGAGTATGTATGTGTATAAACATGTCAGCCGCTCAGTGTGTGAGAAACATTAAAAATAAGCTCGTCTTTGTGGTTGTGGGGAAAAGTTGTGTCAAGACCAGGGTTCAAATATTATTTACATGGTAGAAGTCCTGGGGAGAATGTTCACGCTGGCTGCCAACCTCCTCTCCATGACTGCCCTGCAAAGACAGACAGATCAGCAGGGCAGCGTTGTAGATATAGCCGGCATGGAGTGAGGGAAGAAATATTAAATATTAACGACGTGATTACTTTGATCAATTACATCACGGAATACCACTTTTCTGTACAGCACCCATCCACTTAACTGCAGGAAAGTCATTTCCATTTCTTTTAATACTTAAAAAAAAATTAAAAAAATGTGCAGTTTATCAGAGAATCCACAGTCAAGCTCACACCAAGAGCTGTGGAAGATGCTGCTGACTGAACCTGTGGCTGCTCTGTGGCTGCTTTCTGCACTTGACATGTTTTGAACTGATGGAGCTCATGGAGACACAAACACAAGCACTGTTTCAAAACTGTCTCTGTAAAGAATAGTCACATACAGTAGTGTACAGATGAAAACTAGAAAAATCATCCAAAAATCTTAAACCTAATCATCGCGTGTATGGCAGTGGCACAGCCTACCTAGCAATACACCAACATGAAAATTACTGAGATCGCTCTTTAAATGTTTGCAGACATGAACATGAAACATAGTATTTTTACCATTAAGACGGCAGTTCTCATGTATGTGACCAGTCAGATGATTCATATCCATGTCACCAGTGCTCTCTGTCACCCAGAGACGTTAACAAGAAGGTAATGTTAAACTTCTGACTAAGAGAAGAGTAGAAAAACAAAAAACAAAACAGATTCTGTATCAAGGTTGGTTGCTAAATGCAGACACAAAGGTGTATAATAACATGTTTAATGAGTTAAAAAAAATAGTAACGTGATGGTTGTTAAGTTATTTCTTTCTATTGCTCAAAAGGATGCAGCACAGAGTCTGAGGTGCCACTGCATCCAGCTGGATGTCACTTCTCAAGCCTGTGAGCTCATGGAGGTGACACAAAGAATGACAAACTATTAAGAACATAATTCATGTATACAATAAACCATCTCTCCTGGGATTAATGGTGTGCTGTCATTCCTAGAATGATTCCAGGCCAGGTGATACAGCGAGTGTGTAGGAGGAAAACACTCAGAAAAGCCTCAAACTCACAGAAGCATCGACAGTTGGTGCAGGTGGACGCGGTCAAGGACGGTCATAAATCCACACTGTGTTCCATTGGCTACAAAGTCTTCCTGACAAAGCTTTGACCAATAAAATCACTCGTTTATGTCTGCTGTCATGCCTCTTGTTTGGGGCCAGAATCAGCTTATGCACAGAGTCAACTCCGACCTGACGATTTTGGAATTTTACCACGGCACATTTTGCCCTTATGGTCAGTATTTACACTTGGCTATGAGGTCTATGAACACATGAAGTAATTATGACATCATGAAAAAACATAAACAAATATGATGTCTAGTCACTGCTTACATTCAAGGATCGTCAGTAATAGAAAATAACTTGAATATAGGATAGAGTAACACATACAACACAGTTTGTTATTAAATATGTTTGTCATTAGTTGAAAATATAAAAACATTATAATAGCTGAATCACCTGATTAATCAACAGAAGTAAACGGGCCCCAAACCATACCAAGGGATGTGTGTGTTTTCAATCGATCGCTACCCTGTTTACAGTCTACTGTCAGGGCGCAGCACTGCCACACAACAAACTGTTCCAAAAGCCTCAGGTGTCGTTTTGTGATCAGATTTAATGTACTTTCGCTCTTTCTCTCTCAATTTCCCAAACAAATAAAGTGAGTCGCTATATCCACACAGTACAATGTACCTGCAGTAAATGTGTTGTTTTACTGATAGAGTCGCTAGCAGCTAAGTAACATCTATTATTAAAGTAGGTAAAATTTGACAAAATAAAATTCAGGAGTCAGGGATGTAAATCTCATGAAGTAGATTACCATGAACAAATAGTAGGAATATGTATATGTACAGTATATTTGTGTATATATGTATAGACACATATATATGCATATACAGTAGCATATACAGCATATATGGTGTGTTTGTGTACATACATATATATATAAATATTATATATTTTTTAATGGATTTACTCAAAGGCATTGTTTTACACTTAGTTTTCTCTAAACTTCATCCTCCTCTTATTTCTGCAGTAGAACTGACGCCTGGTGAACAAGTAAAGACAATGGTGTTCATTTCAAAAAGATTTTTTCCCCCATATTTGATTGCCCTGAACATGTAATTTTAAGGAGGAAAATCTAAATCTAAAGTGTGGGATTTTTTCTTCCACATGGGGGCGCTGTGGGTCTTTTGTTTTCAAAGTCTTCACATACTATGAAGAAATGAAATGTAGAGTTTAACATATATAAAACTCCTATCAAATGAAACGAAATGTAAATTATCCTACAGAGAACGGTATGACTCATCCCATTTATGTATATGGGTACTTTACTCCTCTGGTCCACACCCTCCATGCAACAACACCTTCACAGAAGTGAACAGCAGGTGGCGCCAGCGGAATCCCAGCATCAGCACAAACCAATTTATTTCCCAGGCTCACTCAGGCTTCATTTAAGAGCCCATCACAAGGCTCAAATTGAGCCACTTAAGCCACTGTTCCCTGACACAAAAGAAGGAAACCAAAATAGAGCGATAGGAAGAAAGGCGGTGAGTCAGGGGAGAGGCATTTGATCTGCATGTGGTGGGGTGTACCTCAAGTGGGCTTGCTTTTCAAGGGGAAATCTTCTAAGCGCTCTTTGTCTCTGAGAGTTCCTAATATGAAAAACAGGATATTTTTATTTCAGTCATTGCTCTTTTTGCACAATGAGGCCAAAAGGTTGCATCTGAGAGATGAAAAGAGGAGAGGTACAAAGAGCTGCCTCACCTAATTCACCATGAAACTGCAATTGTCTGTCTGTGATCAATAGGGCGACCTTGTTATGAAATAGAACAGATTATTGCAGGGAGAATTAGGGAGATGAAGAGAGAATAGAGAAGGACTCGAGTGAGATGTGTGTGAATTCTCAAACAGTAAAAAGGGCAGTGGCGGGGCGATGAGGACACTTTCTTCTGTGTTGTTTCACTGATGCATCGTATGGTAAGAATAAGATGTTTGGGGGGAAAAGTGGACAAGACTAAACCCACAAAGGTTAGGTGAGAGATAATGAAGGGAATTTTCAGGTTGTGATTATCTCTGAAGAAACGTCTGATCCTCCCTAAGAGGTTAATTAAAAAAAATCCTGGAGCCTGTGTAGAGAAGTGTCTCCATCACCAGTGTGAACTTTGCTGACCCCGACATCCTCACAGACAGACATAGCGATCCATCACAGCTGATTCCCGGACTGTCTGGCTCCTGATTGTGCCACTGAAATCCCAGAGTGAGTAAAGACACGAGAGCGCCGAGACCCACCGAGACAAGCAACAAGAAAAATAAAGAATAACCAGGACACCCTTAGGCTCCGAGACCTCTCTTCTTTTATGGAGGACACAAACACCAGGGCATGATGGGTTTTCACTTGGTTCAGCACCTGACATTTACTCACACTGACCCCACATTGTTCATATAGCAGATGATGAGATGAGTGCACGGGTGAGAACCCTCGTCTTAATACCATTTCATAAAGCTGTGGCTGAATTTTCGAATTACAAGTACAACAAGTCACTTACAGATTAGCCTCATACTCGTCACTGATGTAGAGAATTAGAGCTGTGTATACAGAGCTGACAGCATTTGTCTCCACAATGTCAATAGAAATGTCAAGACATACTGTATATATGTTACCTTAAATAGGAGCACTTGTTCTTTGAAGGAGAAATCCTCACACACACACACACACACACACACACACACACACACGGCCTTAAATGTGTGTATTGTTTTCTCAGAAAATCAGCAGAAATGAACTGAGTCTGATGGACATTAATGAATTATGAAGTTATATAATATAATACATATATAAGAGAAACACACACATACACTCAATATGTACATATGCTAAGAACAAATAAATAATACTAATATATACTAAGAAGAATATTTATACACAAATAAATAATACTAATATATACTAAAAAGAAGAATATTTATACATGTGTCTATTACACTGTGTATATATAAATATATAAAGTATATACATATACGTGTGTATATATGTATATATACACATATACACGTATATATATATATATTTATTTTTATATACATTTAAATGGATTATTAAGGCATTTACTTTTGGTCAACCACATAAGGACACTGTTAAAATCCCAGACTACCTATATGTCATTAATCTTTAGGCATGTGTTAAAAAAAGAGGCCATTCCAGGTGACAGCAGGAAACAATCAACAAGCCATCAATGCGAAAATCCCTCCAGCAGTCCCCACTGAGAAAATAGATTTCTCATTCTCAATTCTCCAAGTTCTCCTGGTAAGGACATAGACGTGTGTGCAAAAGAAGGGACGTGTTGAGGCAAAAGTGAAGGAGGGAAGAGGAGAGGAGAAGAGGAGAGACGATGAGACAAATGAGAGTGTTTTGTTTGATTGCTTTTGAGAAAGGACACCGACTGTGGAGCAGTGTTACAGGGAAAGTTTCATAAATCTTTTCCTGTACAGTTCACCTGCAGTGGCTTCAGGCTTAAATCACATCATGCTTGATTAGTTGAGAAGGAGAAACCAATCTCCAGCACACGGAGCCACCTCCTTGACAAAAAGAGAGTGTGAAGAAAAAAAAGATGCCTCCTCATTACACTTTCCTCACCGGGCCGTCTGCCGTGTTCCCTGTGCTGACGCAGGTAGAAATAACTCTTTTCCTCCACATTCTCAAACTGAGAGCAGTGGAATTCTGAGAAGAGAGAAGCGTATTAACTTCATATTCTCAGGTTAAAATGCTGGAAGGCAAAAAAGTAGAAGGTGAACGGTGGAGAACTTATGCAGAAGTGTGTGTATGTTACTCTCAATGGTTTTTATTGATCTTTTACTCCAATGTTACTACTGTATGTATTCACCATGGACATACAAGTGAAAGACAAAGGCTATGATTTTAAAAGGTAATTTTAACAACCTAACCATGTTCACACACATCTCTCAGGA